AGAAAATCGATGTCGATTTTCTACATTATTGGAAATTCGATTTTCTATAATCTAGAAAATCCGTGAGGATTTCATATATGGACTTTTTGAAAATCGCCGAGCATTTTCTATAAATAATTCCCGACTTCACAGTGTAGTCTGTAACAAATGATAATACTGTTCGATCAAAAAATATTTCACAAAACACTTTGTTTTTGAAAAAGTGATTGGATTTTTTTGTTTTGCTTGTCGAAGAAAAAACTGTCTAATACTCTCCTGTTTTTCTTCTGATTTCGAAAAAAATCTCCTGACCAACTCCTAATTTTTAACGAAAATCTCCGGATTTCGAAAAATTGGATTTGGGCACCCTGTACACAAAATAACGTGAATAGAACACAGTTGCTCTTCCATCTTCAGTCCTTGTTTTTGTCACTGTTCACATGTAAACATCAAGTATAAGTACTTTTAAAATAGGTTTTCTTTTGAAACGGCTTCTGTGATCACTATATTTGATATGTGTGACATAAGGAAATGCTTTTTACGGTTTATAGGATGACCCTTGTCTCCAGAGTCAGCTCTGGCGAAGCGGACAAATAATTCAAATGTAGCTATCGGCGATGATTGTTGTAAAATAACTGTTTGCGTTAAATGAAAACGTTTCGTGCTTTCTGTTTCGGTGTTGGTATTTTAGTCAAGAGTCGATCGAACTGATTATGAACGTTGATCGTCCTTTCATTCAACAATCAAAGCATGCATCGAAAAATAGTGTACAGTCACGAATATGATCACGTGTTTTAAGATAGAAATTCACACATTTGTGTAACCACAAACCTCTACGACATTTGTGCAACCTGGAAAATCATGATGAGTCATAGATTCTCATCATAATTAGCACCTGTTTTTTATCATAATAAACGATATATTTTATTTTCTACATGATATTAACTTTTATGTAATAGTATAAAACGAAAAGAGAAATTACAACAATACAAAACAATGTTTGGCGACAACAATGCACAACATAACCTATCTAGGGTCTATATAGGAAAAATGTACAAACTATTATAGATTTTAATATAACCGCAGCTGCCATAATTGTGTACTAATTCTTATTATTTATTAATTAAAATAATAAAACTATAGACCATTATGGTCATTTTGTTAAACGATAGCAACGGAAACTCATTCTACAAAGAACACCGAAAGAGAAAACAAGAGTAAAACACTAACAGGGAACAAAAAGACAAATAAATTTTGCGAATAATAAATTAGATGCACGCACAGAGAAATACTTAATCTATTCGCATCGATTTCTCTTAAAGCAAGGTCTCGATTCAAATACACTAAGCAAACTGTCATCTTCACTCGACTCATTTTCTTCATCTTCATTTTGAGCTTTTGTGTCCAATTCGCTATCCATTAATTCCCATGTTGCTAATTCATCAGGACTGACACGTAATGAATCCATTTTTATGTTATCTAAAAATATAAAGAAAATTTGTTAAAGCAATAATGAAGCTAAGCAAAAGCATTCATACCCTTCCAAAAGTTTTTACTGAGTAATTTTGCAACGTATGATGTTGGTAACTTAAACCAGGCTCTCGTTGATACTGTTGGATTTCTGGCTACCAAATCACGAATCTAAGTGCATGAATATTAGCTATACGTTGACCTTGACCTTTTCTACAACGCAAATTTTTATGTTTTAGGGCCAAAACCAGTAGAGTGTCCCTCCGTGTCGAATTCAATAGTGTCCAATCGTCAGCTCTTCGCGGTTCGAAGTGTGCAGTTTACAAATGAATACTCTCACTAATCATATGATCCTCTTATCTTGCTCAGTTTTGCCACTCACTCCCATGTCAATTTCTCTTGAGTTTTGTATATATGGCAATTTAAATCCGAACAATTGATACTCAATCGAGTCACCAGCTTCACGCTGTAAGGCGCGGCTAATTCAAAAGAGGAGCATGTTTTTATTTTTGCCTTAAAAGCCCATCACTCGATGCAGAATTTCGTGC